ATACGATATTCTAACGGTCACCCACACGGTCCACCAGCCCGGGTCAGTAGGTCGAATGAACACTCAGCCACCATCCCAGGCTGCACGGTAAAGGTAAATAGACCGAATGGGATAATACATGTTCATTATAAACAAAATGACCAAAGAAATATTAATAAATGGCAAAAAATATGGTAGACTCTTAACGCTTGACATGATGGCGCAAACATTTGAACAACTATGATATAACTTTATCGTGTCGCGAAAAATACGGTTGCAACAGACTTGTTATAAAACAGTTGTAACGCTCCCCATTGGGAGCAATGTTATGGCAACCGTAATGAAGTGCGATTGCAAATGATTTTTTGATGGAAATGTTTGAAGCTATAATAAAATTATAGTAATGTTACACAACGTTTCAAGTGTATGTTTTTCATTAAATAAAACTTACAATGACTTCAAGTTATATATTTGCTGTCGATAATTGCTTTCCAAGAAGCTCTATACTTTAGTTGGAATCATTATTGAGACAAATTTTTTATCATTGACGCCAAAATGGCAATTTTATTATAACTTAAATTGTGATAAATTGAGATGTTAGCTATAGCTAAATCAAGATGGAATTGTGATTTAAAATATTTCCATTCGTACACGTGCTTTCTTGTCGTTTTAAGAAAAAAAAAAATAAACAAAGAAAACACAAATTTTGAAATGAATTGTTGCTATGAAATAAAGCTCTTCTTTTGTTACAAATAAAATTGCGATGCAGTTTTTCTTGTACAAATTAAGAGCAGCAAATCTGTTGTGAAAAATGCATGATGCAGTATTGTTTGGAATAAAGTAAGAGATATGTTTTTCACCACAACGTCTCAAATGCGAAACAGCTCAAAAACGGTTCTGTTTATCCCTGAAATGATATATTTAATACAAGTGCGCTTCGTTAAGCTCTTCTCATAAGATTGTTCGTATATTCATTTTTTTATTTTTTTATATCATTTTTCCGCTTGTTAACCCACATTCATTTGAAATAATCGTTTTATTAGTTTATTAGTATAGCATAGTTTGAAATGCATTGTAGCCAATTATTGAAAGTGCAGCGGGAAAAAGCAGAAAAACACGTTTAAACTCTCTCCCTCCAATTTGATAAATATGAATCAGACGATGATGCAATATAGCATTCGAATCTTGTTTTTCTTTATGCGTTTTTTTTCTCTTGGTTGCGCTTCTATCATTATTTTCATTATTACTCTTGATGTGTTCATTTCAAATTGAACTAATTTTCCAACAATTCATTCTTTCGCCTCAATCTATGTATCTATATTATAATAACCATCTAATGTCCAATGGGAAAGTCTTTATATAATATTTAAGTTTGTCACACTCTATCTCACGTATTGTTTGTATTCCCATTTTCATTCAATTCTGGTTTGGCTTTTATTTTGTTCTTTATCGAAAGCGATTATCGAATAACCAGTCGATTGACCATGGAAATATCCATGAGGCGAACGAAAGAATCGAATACATCCATCTGGATGGCATTGAGAGAGACAGCGAGAGATACAATCATTTAATGAAAATGGATTGAATGCTTGTTGTCATTTTTAATTAAGAATTGGCACATAAGTATATTCTGTCTTAAATATTTTCCATCTGCGTGCTCCCTATCTACTTCTTCTTCCTCCTCCTTTTTTATCTCAAATTGCTATTTTACGCGTTTTTGAACTGATTACTTATAATACTGATAGAATCCGAAATGGATTCGCTCAATGTTATGCTTTAATATAATGCAAATATAGGGACGCACAAGAGCGCGTGTACCCACCAAAATGACCGGGATAGCAAATGAAAATGGCAACACTCACATGGGTATTTATGAAACTTTTGCCTGGATTTTCTCATTTGACTCCTGCCTCATACTTTAACTACTCTAATGACCATTGCCCGAGTAATTTTCTTTTTCTCTTTCTTCTTATTACTTTTTTCCATCAGTTCTCATCACTGTACGTTTTTCCACCCGTTTTTTTTTGTGCTGCTTTTACTTATTATAAGATTGCCACATGTTCTTGGCAGTATACTTCGCATAAGGATACAAAGCAACAGGCGCGTTGAATGTTTACGCGTTTATTCGCAAGCGATTGAACACATAATAAACTTTCGTTTCTCGAAAGCACTAACGATTGCTATAGATTTCAACTAAACACTTGAAGCATTCTTGAATGCGAAAATTACAGAAACACACGCTACATGTACAACCGTCCGATCCCATTTTTCAGTTCAGATTATACATTTCCTAATCACATTGGAAAATTCAATTGAAATAGCATTGTTAGTGCCGTTTGAATGGATAAACATAGAATAAGATGAAATAAAAAATAAAGTAGCATGAAGTGGGAGTGAGCAAGAGATAGAGAGAGAGAGGGAGAGAGAAGAAATCCAGAATAATTTATCCAACCAATTATAAATGGTTTCCTTTGGTATCGTGATGAACCAACATTACATACACTCAATTCGAGTGTACGTAGATTGAGATAATAAGCACCGTGAAATAAATAATGTTGCGACAATAAATTTCAATCATTGGAGGAAAATTGATTGTAATGTCATTGTAAAATACGAAAAAAAAAACATAGTATGACTCCATATACACAAACGATAATTTACATTGATTCGGCAAAAAGCTACGACTAAAGCAACAACTCTGATAATAAAGATACCACAAGAGAGAGAGAGAGAAAATCGTAAATAGACTTTGGTATTTCTGTTTGAAAGGAATATTGTTCTGAAATTCAACGTTCTATCGATTCAATCAACAAATGCTGGTGAACAAACGATATCGAAAATAGAATGTTATTTATGATACCTGGTTTGAAAAAAATGCCCTTTTAAGTACTTCCGTCAGTCGTTGTCCTTGCTATTTTAATTTCAAATGTTGTCTATTTCAAACGCCTCAGAAATAGAGATCACTTCTGCTAATCACACAAAATGTGCGTTAATACTTTTAAACCTAAATCACTTCACTTCGCCACACACACATTCGCCATGTTTTTGTAATTTTCCATTCGGTGAAAGAAGTCATCTATCAAAACATAAACATATTTTCAAATTGAGTGAACACGTTCAGACGCCAATAATGTTTTGCGTCCGCGCATAACATACGGAAATATTTAAATTTTGTTTTACTCGTCCGCCAAATAAAAACCCATACAAAACGAGCAAGTCTTGTTTTATTTCTTTTTGTCGGAGCAAGCATTTTAGCATTTGTTGATTTTTGCGTATTCGCTCTTTAATCGCTATTGTTCTATGTTATACGCAACCCCGATTGCCTCCATTTACTTGCTCACTCTAACTTGCTTGCAGCTACTTGTATTGCTGGTTGGCTGGTCTACCGATGTGCTCTTTTTTAAGCTACGGCTCAATCAAGCATTAAGATATAGATGGATAAAAAAAATCAACGGAAAAATATGCAGGTGCGCGTGTTACATGTAAAATTCCAATATCCAATCATTTCGGTTCGCTTACATACTCCGAATGTACTCCAGTACTATTTATATACGCAACCAGACGAGCACGCGAAAATCCAAAATGGTTTTTGGTAACTGATGATGAGGGATCCTAACCATCGACATTTCTCACATCGCATCGTAAATCCGCGAGAAAATGTCTTTCGTACCGTTTTTCTCTCTTTTCTCGTTGGTTTTCTTCGTCGAATCTCCTTTTTTTGGGTTACTTACACTTCAAGCATAACAGAAGCGTACACAAGCGCGATTTTCTCAATATTTGGGAATGGGATTGATGAAATTTAACCGCAAGTTTGTTCAAAGTTGATGGGATTTTTGATGTACGATGATGGACAACGGTGGTGTGTGCGTGTATGTGTCAGTCAAAATATCCACACCGAATACACGAATAGAGCAATTATGGTAATTAGAATTATTTCAAACACACTCAAACAACAACAAAATTGGGTCGAACAATCTTCACGCGATGAAAAAAAAATTAAGAGAGAGAGAAAAAAAAATGTGAGCTGAAAACACAGTAGAAGACAAAATTTGGATTTTTTGAAATTTGTATGATTTTCAAAAATTATAGAAAAACGAATCAAAATTAAAAAAAATGTTCAGCCACCGATTATCTGGCCATTAACAAGCAAATGTTGACACAATTCAACCACTTATTTTGCTTTTTAATCAATTTTATGATGATTGTGCGATATGTTCAAAATACGTTGCGTCGGGATATTTTATTTGTTCATTGAGCCGATACACACCGTTATGTTTTTAAAATGGGATTGGTGCTTCTATGCCGCGCGACTAAAGCTGTTGCGGTTTTTTCCCATTCTCTTGCTTGTTGGGCTTATGTCAAGTAAAGAATCAATAGCTTTAGCTCTCTTTTTGGTATACTTGTGTTTGTGTATGCGTGTGTGCTGGAATGCGTTTACACAAATTAGACAGCTTTAATAGATACGTTGTATCCTTATCAAAATCGCTTGAGGTCAATACATACACATCGACACCCATATGACAAACGAAATGGAATAAACGTAAAACAACAAAACACACCACTTTACGCCGATGACAATTAAGATTTCTGGATAATAATGCGAAGTATGCGGAGAGAGAGAGAGAGAGAGAGAGAGAGAGAAAATAGAGTGAAATTGAGCATGTGTATTTGCTTCAAGGCTTTTTGCAACTTGCATTCGATATTCAAACACAAAGGCAGATAAAGGAGGTAAGTAGAGAGTAAATCGGGGCAATAAACAGTCAGCTTTTGAAGTTATACAAACGTGTCTTTTAAATATCACTTGAACAAAATATCGGAAAAGTTTCTTTTCAAAATGTATTTATTTAGAGAAATAAAAAAATATAATTTACATAAAAATACGCTTACGCCTACGGACTAAACATCTTTCGTCATTTCTCTACATATATACATAGAAATTTTGGTGCGTGATATATGCACACTGAAGGGAAAGAAACATAGGTAGCAAAAAGAAAGGGAGAGTTTTTGAAAAAAAAAACTGATTTCTCTTAAACAAAAATATTTATTGGCTTTACATTTGAAAGCTATAGACATTTCGATATGCGCGAATGCGAACATTGAAAAGGCGAATGAGCAAATGAAGGAATGAAGCAAAACATCGTATATCCGTGCAGCGTTCGTTCGATATATAAATGTATATATTTGGCAGCAACATTGCAAAGCACGATTTCATGAGCAACAGTAGTAAACGCAACATATATCGGCGAAGCCTTGTTGAATGTTTTTCCCTGAAAATTTGTGCTCGTGATGTTGCTGATGATGATGATGATGATGATGATGGTGATGGTGTGTTCGCTCTTTCCTTCTATTTTGTGCAAATGTATATAAATTCGAATGAACTTGAACACGAATCCGTAAAAAAACCTCCAGCTCAGTGTCATGGTGATGTGTGTATGACGTACGGGCTGCTTTCCAAAATACACATCTCAATGATGTTTCCCTCTCTCTCTCTGACTCACTCACACTTCTTCTTTCGCTGCGTTTCGTCTTTACTTTTTCTTTCTATCTCATTTTGCTATTTAAGCATTTGTTCAATTGTTGCACACGTACAAAAACAATTTTCCTTCATCATTTACTTTGTGATTTATATAGAGAGTGTGCAAGTATCTTTTCAAACTTATACATTTGCCAATTTTTCTTTTGCTTATCTTTTTGAATTCACACTGAGCAAAATTCTATTTAGATTTCGTACGTTTAGTTTTTTTTATGCTTTTCCTCTGCTTTTCAATCGCGAACACATGTGTGTGGCACAGGTGGATAGAAATGGAATAGCTTTTTCGGAATTCTCAATGTGTTTGTTATGCTACGCGGAGAGTACGTGAACATATTTGCTGTGTATGAGTGTGTGCGTTTGCGTGAGAGTGTGTGTTATGTGATCTAATGGGAAAAATGGAGCTAATGCACAGCCCACTTGTTGTCACTCTCGCCTTCTCCATTAATGTGCTACACGCTCGTATACATATACTTGATTCGTTGGGTTGGAACTGGTGCTATTGCTGCCGTTGTTGTTACTGCCGTCGTCGTCGTTGTCGTCGTCAATGCGAGTAAATGTGGATAAAAAAAATGCGAGCAAGCATGTCTCTGTGTAAGCTCAATGATTTCGTTGTATACGGGAGAGTGACGAGCGAATGACGGGAGAGAGCAAAAGACAGAAAGAGAGCGAGCGCGCGTAAGCTTTGTCATTAATTCGATTCAACAGATGACATTTGATTATTGTTGTGGTTCAGACAATGCACATCGTACATTCGCTTATTGACTGTTACAAACTGACATTTATCACACATAAACATCAGTTCTTTCGCCGATTCTTGGTGATTTTTGAGTATGTGATTCTTGTAGTTGGTACTTTGAATGCATTGAAATTCACAACATGGACATTTGTATTTGACTTCTTTCCTATGGATCATTTGATGCCGTCGGAATGCATTGTGATCATTTGATTTATAGTCACATTCATCGCAATTAAATCGTTTATCGTCAAAATGATTCAAATGATGTGCACGCAATGTATGTTTGCTGTTAAATGTTTTAGAGCAAATGTCACATTGAAGTGCCAACGGTTGACGTTGATGTTCAATTGCTTCGTTATGCGTGAAATAATGCTCTTTCAAATGCTTTGCACTGTAAAATGATTGGCCACAGTATTTGCATTGGGTGATTGTAGGCGGTGTTAAACGTGTATGAATGCGTCGATGATTTTTCATTTGACGTGCATTTTTAAAGGCTTTTGAACAATAATCACACTTAAAATCACGACGATCCGAATGAATTTTCATGTGGGTGTTTTTCAACCGAGATAAAATTGGCGTTTTAAATGGACAATGTGGACATTGAAACAATTCCATATCAATATTATGCTCGCGCCATAGATGTGTATGCAATGTATTCCAATTCCAATTTCGATTGTGCGCGGTTTTTCCATTGATTGCCGTCGTTAACGTTGACATCGATTGTGCTATTGTCGTCGTCGTTGTTGTTGTTGTTGTCGTTGTTGCTGCTGCTGCTTCTGTTGAATCTCCATCAGTGTTGCTCATTTCATTTGCTGAATTTGAAACAGGAGACGAAATCGTCGTTGATTCGGACGTTGTCGTATCGATTTCACATTTCGGACATCGAATCACCTTATTGTCGGACGTATGACATTGTTCGTGAAGTGAAATAGCTGCTTGAGTTGCGAATCGCATACCACAATTACTGACACTACATTTAGTTGTGATGACGTTATTACGATTACTGATACCATCTGAAACAATTCAAAAATAACGAAAATGCGTTAGCCCACATTGATGGGAAAATTGTGAATGAACACGAGTGGGAGATATGAATAAGATGATAAGCAATGAGGATATCGTAAATGTGATAAAATTAATGGAAAAATGAAACTTTATAAGCGAATCGAGAATGTAATGGAAAATAAGTGTGAAACGAAAAGTAAACTTATGCAATTGATTGAAATGAGAAAACGAAATAATGAGTGTTGATGCTGGTGTACAAAAAAGAAACACATACTTATTTGTCGGGCTCCTTTGGTGCGCCCACTCTTTTTCTTGTTGACTGACACTGGCATTGTAATCAATTTGATTGTATCAATTGTTTCAACATCAGTTTCGGTGGCTACTGTTGAATCTAAATTAATGGTTGGTGTTTCTAATGGACGCATATCAATGTCTTTTCCCTTGTATTCAATCGTTTGAGGTGACGCAACTTTGGTTAAATTTGTAGCAAAATTTATTCTTGGAACTCGATTATATAGCTCATGTTGTTGTGGTGGTGGCTGTTGTTGTTGTTGTTGTTGCGTTACCGATTGCGATAATCTCGGTGAATTGAGCGTGTCAAAATCTTGAGATGAGATCATGTTGTCGTCGAGAAATTGCTCCACTTCATCGTTGGTTAGATCCAAAATATCGATAATTTCTTCCGAAACAATCATGTAGTCGGTATTATCGAGTGCTTTCATTGGCATACATTTATTACCAATGAAATGATTTCCATCATGGTCCAAATAATCATCGGATGGTGTTGGTCCATTCAAATTGATGCTGGTATGGTTCATGGGATACAAATCGGAATTCGGAATGTTACCCAAAATCCCATTGCAAATGGAACGATCTTGACTGTTAATTGAATGTGTAATTTAAACAGAAACAGAAAAAAAAACAAATAATTATTCTCTATTCAACAGGCATATCGACAATTGTTATCTATTACATCGAAAGTGTTGGAAAAAAATGAGTATAACTCTCGTTACCTATCGAACATGACCGAATCGAATGTGTTTGTATTGCTGGCGATGGTATAATTTTGAGCATTTGAATCAAGATTCGTAATCGCGTAGTTTGAATTACCGGTACCTCCTACTCCCCCGCCGCTATTTCCACCGCCGACGTTATAGTACTCCACCAGGTTAGATGGCATTTGAGGTTCATTGGTAAACATAAAATCATTGACGTCATTCTCGAGATACTGTGGTATGATGTTATTATATTCGCTTGCATCATTCAGCACAAACCGATACTCGTCCTCGTTAAGCGTAACACCGTCCGATTGATTAAAACTATTATTCTCATGTGGCTGTAAATGGAAATAAGCAAAGCAAAATGATATCATTCACACACGCACACATTTCTTCTTCTCCCTCTTCTTTTTACGACAAAGAAAATGAAAATGTCAAAAGAAAACAAAATTGAAATGGAAAAACCGTAAGCATACCTTGTTGATCAGCAGATTCACTTCATCAACGGTGCGCAGATGTAATGTATTTTTGCGAAAATGTGAATCCGTCAAGTTAACAGTTTGCGTTGTTGTGGGTTTGATTAGAGGCTCTTTTAAAATGTCAATATTTTTTATGTAAATTTTTTTGCGTTCATTCAATGGCACTGTGGATAAAGGCGATACTGATGGTGTTATGTTTAAGTTCGATGAAATCTTTATGCTCGGCTGTTGTTGGGCGTGATTCATGTGAGTGTGTGTATTTTGATATGAAAATTCATTATTGCTTGTGGTTACGGTATCTAAGGGGCGAATGACAAAAGAAAAGAATACAATTAATTTAAAATAATCGCAAATAATCGCAAAAAATAATAAATTTATAATAGAAAGAAAGTGGTAGCGGTACCATTTGGCCAGCAAATGTTTTCGGTGTTCATAAAATTTTCGCTAAATTTTACCGAACTACCCGAATCGGGTCGATTTGTTTGCGAATCATCGATTGGTGCAATTTCGATAATCGGTGAAATGGCATTCATTGGCATTCGTTCACGGCTGTCAGTCATATTCAAACATTCATTTCTCAATGTTTGTGTTGTTGGCACCATTGGCGGGAATGTTGTTTCAATGTTATTTGAAATGTGATGTTGAAATAAACAATTATTATCTAGCTGATTAAATGTTGTATGTACAGGCATCCGATTGTAATTAAGCTCATCAACAATTGATCGATCATTGTTGGTAATTTCATCGGTTAAATTTGATGAGCATTCGCTTTGTGTTTCGGACGGCGATAATATGGTGGGCGGTGTATTTTGTACACCAAATTGACAACCGTTGAATCGTGGATTCTGAAGTACTTCGACATTTTTTAAATAAATTTTTTGCTTTTCCGCCACCTTTTCATTTGGATTGGTTGTCGTCGTTGTGGCCGTTGTCACTGTCATCACCATTGTCGATGGTGATGGTGACAATATTATTGAATCAGCCGTATCATTGGAATTGGAGCATTGACTCGTCGTCTTTTTATTTTTGGAAAATAAACTTTCTAACAATTGGCTAATATCTGGCTTCGACATTTGGTGATCATTGACTAAATGAATTTTTAACGATTTTTTACTATAAAACACATTCTCACAACCTGGACACAGCATTTTATTGCGAAACGTTCGATTCGATGCACTCTCACTGTTTTGATCATTATTGTGTACGGTTTGTATGTGATTATTGTAGCCATCCTGACTGATGCTCATGAACGGACACTGTTCACATTTGAAGCATTTCACTTTTGGTCGTGCTGTTACTAAATTGGCCGTCAAATTTGATTGATTACACGTGTTTGGAAATTTTTGATTTTTTGACACTGCACCAGGTGTTGATTGTAAATCTTTATTCACTTTTGAGGCCACAACCGCCTGCACCTGATTCGCATTATCAATTTCAGATTTGAATGATGGTTCGGCTTTAATTTCTTTGGTGGATTGACTAACACTCGGTCGGGATGGTACCAAATTCGCATTTTGCGTTGGTATCTGCACGAAAACACTTGGCAAAATCATTTTTTTTTGGTATTTTTGTAATGTTCACTTCCTTTATTCGGTGAATGAAAACCAAAAACTATTAAAAACTATTCTCATACTATAAGTTGAAATGTGTACATGGTTTTTTTTATTTTATTTGGTCACAAAATATTGCTTTTTCTCGCATTTGAATCAAATATCAGTAGCAATAAAGTAATTTTTTACGTTTTTCGCATTTCATTTCCATCTTCAACATGCAATTGACAGTTCTATCGTTAAATTACAAATCGAAATGTCATACAAGTAAATAAACAAAAGTCAGCTCGTTTCTCCTTTCAAAACAGCTGACCGCAATTTTCGTTGCTGGCTCGCTTAGTTTGTGAATTTTAAAATATCATTTGCATTTGCATTTATGAAATGTGGATAATAAATCTTTATTCGATTTTCAATCAATGTTAAATATTTGTGCAATTTCATTTTTATTGAACATTTTTATGAATTACATATATTCGAAAGGAATTATATTCAAAAGATGCTATAATTTGCTTATGAAGGAAAATACTCTTGTTTGACACTTCATACGCGCCAACTTCATATCAAAACGAGATGCAGAGATGTACTCATTCATTCGAATTGTGTGCTTGTATCGATACAGTCATTATTTACTTGATTGAAATAAAAAAAAAATACACATTACTTTTTTAGAAATTAGTATCACAGTGTTTCGTGTTTATTTTTTATAATTTGACAGTTTTTCTTCATTACATGATAATAAATAAATGGCAAATAATACTTAAAATGTAACAGTTAGCCATATAATGTTTTATTTTTGATTCAGTGTATCAATTTATTGAATGGAAATTATTAATTAAAAATCAATGTGATTTAATGACATTTTAAAATACAACATAACACATATACCCTTTGAAAATTGTCATTTTTGTGTAAAATAGAAAAAATAAAATCGAATTCTTCTATTTCAAAACCTACTGCGATTACTCAATTACTTAAGTACTAAATAATTTGTCGTACTCAATCTTAAGTACGCTATAGCAAGCAATAAAATTCAATTAGCTCAACCACCGTATCCGAAAATACTTTGTTGACAAAAATTCGGTGACATTATGTATGCATTTCGTTTATGGACAGAATAGAAATAAACGAAAAGGGAAAACAGCATCTAGTGATAGTGAGTGAGTGAGTGAGAAATTTTGAGTGTATGTTTTTATTTCTCAATTCCATAAAACAAAACACGAAAAATGCTGGAGAGCAAAAAGCCATCGCAAAAAAAGTTGCAATCAAATGAATTGGAATTGAAGGTGAATTTTTTAGATGAAACCACTCATACGTTTAGCGTAAAGGTCAGTATAATGTTAATTTTCATTCCATTTATATCTATCGATGCAGAAAATCGATACAATACATCTACCAAATAACACGAAATCCAAATATAAAAATCTGGTTAATTGATTTTTTTTTTTTTTCAACTTCAATTCATTGTTTATTTCTGTTCAAAACAAAAATCACAGAAACGATGCTCGGGAACTGAGTTTTTACATCAAGTGTTCGACTATTTAAATATAATTGAACGAGAATTTTTTGGTATTCAAATCATACCGCATCATCAACAGGAGGAATTTGTGGTAAATTCATATATTTTTTTCGTCTATTGAGGAGGTTGCTAAGTGACAATTTTCATTATGTTCTATCCGCTTATAGAATTGGATTGATCCTAACAAACCACTTCTCAAGCATGTCACCAAGGATGACCGTCAACACTGTAAACTTCAATTTAGAGTTAAGGTAAGAATGAGAGACAATTTTGAGATTATTTTGCTTGTTTTGTTTCATTCAAACTAATTTACTAATAAACAAAAATCGATTTTCATTTGCTGACAATACATACACACGTACCACTCATATATGCAGTTTTTCGTAACCGATCCAAGTCAACTACAGGAAGAACGTACCCGTCACCAATTTTATCTACAAATTCGTCGTGATATTTATTTAGGAAAATTAAATTGTCCATTAAGCACTCAATACCTATTGTCCAGCTATGTTGTTCAAGGTAAGTATTTTTTTTCTTTTTTTGAATTTTAAATGGAACGTTTCAAAATGTGACCCATATACATATTCAAGTACTACCTTCGTTTTTGTTTGAAATGCAAATTTCGTGTGATTTCAGAGTAAATATATGAATAAAATTTTCTGATGTTTTTTTTTCTTTTTCTTCTTTTTTTTATAAAATGTGCAGCCGAACTCGGCGACTATGATAGCCTCGAGCATGATTCTGATTATTTGCATAAATTTAAATTAATACCAAACCAAAATAATGAAATGGAATATTGCATATCAGAGCATCATAAATTGCATCACGGTTTGTTGTGTGAAGAGGCGAAAAATCATTATTTGGATCATGCGACAAAAATTCCATTGTATGGGATTTATTTTTATAAATCGAAAGATTCATGCGGAAAAGACATTGATTTAGGTGTTACATCATACGGTATGATTGTTTATCAAAATGATCATGTCGCCAATGAATTTTCATGGGCCAAAATGTTGAAAATCTCATTCAAGCGTCGCACATTTTTCATTGAATTAAAACGTGAATTGGTAGGTTGATGAAAAGCAAAAAAAAAAAAATAAAATATGAAATAATAAAATTCTTTTTTTTTCACCCCGTAGTCGGAAGATTACAATACAATGCTTGGTTTCAAAATGAGTTCACACAAACATGCTAAAGCCGTTTGGAAGACATGTGTTGAATATCATTCATTCTTTCGTTTAAATCGAAAAGCAACTACCAAATCTACCTCAAAGCAATCAAAAAGCTACTTCACTGCTTGTACAGATACCGCCCAAACAACCAAAGATCACGATGAACGGAAACAATTTACCAAATTGGCAAAAATCAGTCAAACCATTGCCGAAAATCGCTTGAACGAAAAGGCATGCATCACAAATGTGACAAGCGGCAATCAGCAATCAACAAACGGTGGAAATGGAAATGGCAAACTATCGCTGTTATCGATTACCAAATCTTATAAGACATATGACAATAAGGTTACCTCAAAACAAATGGAAACGATACCACGAATGGCATGGGAACAACAAGTGTAAGTATTTGTCTTCGTTGGCTTTTGACATTTTTTTTTTTTATTTATTTATGTACTCATTTGTTTTAGGCCACAAGCAACAGCCGTATCAACGACATCTTTATCAGCTGCCGAATTGATTCACAGTGCTGCATCTCATTTGAATGATAAAAATTTAATTACCGTTTGCATGGAAGCCGATGAACATGGAAGATTTGGATTTAATGTTCGTGGTGGTATAGATGTAAATTTACCAGTTCTTGTTGCTCGAATTGCACCACATTCGCCGGCCGATAGAGTTGTGCCAAAAATTAAAGAGGGCGACAAAGTGCTTTTGATTAACGGACACGATGTTAACGGTTTGACACACAATCAAGTTGTAAATTTGATCAAATCAACACGCGAACACAATGTGCATGGTCAACTTGTCCTCACCATTAAACCGAGCATCGAAGATGTAGCTCTAACCGAAGAAGAAGAACCCATTTGCCAGTATGTTCCGGATTATATTGATCATCCAAAGTACGATGATGCCATATTTTCGCAATCACTATTTTTACTTCGCGATGGATTAGCATCGGGCGCTCTATTGGATCAATTTGAACAACTATACAAAAAGAACGATAATCTTATCATATCCGAATCGAAAAAGGAGGAAAACATGGCGAAAAATCGCTATAGAGACATTTTGCCATGTAAGAACATTCAAATTCTCAATTCATTTGAAATATTTTCATTTTTTTTTAATTTTTCGAATTGTCATTCCAGACGACTGCAATCGAGTTGTAATTGCAAACACTGCCGATACCGAAACCGATTATATCAATGCAAATTATGTGAATATGGTTATTCCAAATGATTGTGTAAATCGGTATATTGCAACGCAAGGACCGATGCAAAGTACAGTGCTCGAATTTTGGCGTATGGTTCAGCAAGAAAGTAGTAATTTTATCGTTATGTTAACTACAATTATTGAACGTGGTCGCATGAAATGTGCTCAATATTGGCCATCAATCAATGAAGAAATGCAATTGTCACCAACATTTTCTATCAAATTGCTCAGTGAATGTTCCGACTCAACGGATAGCTATGTGCTCAGGAAAATTGCTCTCAGCGATAGTGCGGTGAGTAATGTGTTTTTGTTTTTACTATTTGATTGTTTTTCATTTTTTTATTAAATTAATTATTTAATATTTATCATACTAGACGGGTGAATATCGTATAATTCGTCAGCTACAATATTTAGCGTGGCCAGATCATGGTGTACCGTCCGATCGAACATTGTTCATGAATTTTGTTGACAAAATGCGTGAAATGCGACAAGAAAATGTCGAGAGTGTCGATCATCGATTTAAGGAACTGCAAATATTAGATGCGGATGCAAGCGATATTAGTCCGGAGGAGATTTGCAAACGAAGCGGTAAAATTGCTGGTAATGATTATGATGATGACGACGATGATCAATGGATACCGACAAGTGTTCATCAATATATTAGTGCAGCCAATCCTCCCATCATTGTTCATTGTATGTTTTTATATATATATATTTCTTTTAATATTAAGAATTTGAATCGATTTAATGTAATTGTTGGTTTTTTTTCTTCTCAAAGGTTCTGCTGGCATCGGACGTACTGGCATGTTAATTTTAATGGATACTGCCATATCATTATTGAATGTTAGTGAACCAGTTTATCCGTTGGATATTGTTAAAAATATGCGCGATCAACGACCGTGCATGGTTCAAAATGTGGTAAGTTATTGAACTTTCTTCTTCAAATTATTTATGAAGTTAAAAAAAAATATTTCTATTTTCAGTTCCAGTACAAATTCATATGCGAGTGTATATTTGCAAAATATGCCAAATTAACAAAAACAGATATAACTGTATAAGAAGACTTTTATGAACAAAGAAAAACAACAAAATATAATCGATTTTGTTGTTTGTACGCAAATGTGTATCGTACATTGATATCCAGAAAAGATGTGCGCATAAAAAATGCCTTAAATTTTGCGTATACGAAAAGAAAAGAGAAAAAAAAAAACGGTTTTCTGTGGACATGCCTTCCATTTGATACTATCCAGCGCTGTTCTCATCATAACTTATTACTGATTTCTCCTTGAACAGAATTTTTTTCTGTGAAAATTCTAGTCCAATCTAATAATGAATAAAAAAAAAACCACAACAAAAACTGAAATATGATAAGGTTTAACGCACTTTTTACGACTCATACGGCACTTATATACATGAGATTTATATATATATCCAAATATTCTTGATATAATCAATTTAATATTATAATGAACTGAACTCAAGAAAGTTACGGAACCATATTCTAATGATCGGATGCAATCTTACCTCTCGAGAGAAAAAAAAGGTTTCTTTTTCCGCTTTGGATCACCTGTGAACGGAAGTGGAATTTTATGGAATGAACAAAAAATTTGACTCGAAACGTGCAACAGCTATGTATTATCGGTATTGGTAGAATTTTGATTCGGTTTTGTAGTCGATTCCATTAGCGGTCAAAGTAGAGAGTTTTGTTTGTTTTTTTTTTAGTTGAATCATCACAACGTGTTGGTTTGGTGTTGTAGAGATGAGAAAAGTAAATAACATAATTAGTTGAGTGATTTAATCTTATGATAAACTTAAATCCGATCCACATTCAAGTAACGCATTCATAACATTACACATTTGAATTCAATTAACTGTCGCCATATTGATTTTATTTTATTTTAAAAACATATTTATCTATTCACAATTTCCTTTCGTCAAAATTTTCTTTTTAAAAATCATTTCTATTCTAAATTTTGTGTATTCACATTGTTCTAAGTAATAAAAAAAAATGTTTCTGTTTAGATTTTTAAATAGAAACAACAAAATAATATCATAATTTTAGTAAATTACAATTTTAAATGAGAATAAGACTTGTAAAAGCTGTCAATGTAATTCAAGTCACTTTGTTTATGTAATGTCAAAATGTTTAAAAACAAAGTGTTGAATAATATCTAGCAAAGTGGGCACTTTATTCACAAATTCGCACTTTTTAACCAAATGATAAACTTTGCAAAATTGACATTGAGCGCACTTTGAAAAATGAAGTGATGTTGCAACAATAATATCCCTTCTGCGATCTGACAAGAGAAAACGAATAAATAAAAAAAAAAAAAAACAAATGATTGAGAACAATGCAGAAAATTAAGTGTGTGAAACTTCAACAGTATTTATTTATTTATTTCCCTCAATTTGATGAAGTAGTATTCGTTCCGAATTTGTATAAATTTTACGTTTGAAATAAAAAAAAAAATAAACCAATTAATAAAATACAATAGAAAGCGAATAAAGTAATTCGGTTGCATTTCCCGCAATAAATTTTAAGTAAGGTTTAATGTTCCATCAATTTTAAATGAAACGAGTCCAATTATTTCCAAAACGTTCAATTTTCCAAATAAAACAAAATATTTGTTTTTGTAGCATAATGAATTGACCAATAAACCAAAACCATTTTATTCTGAAATGTCAACATTTATTTTTTAATTTTTTGTTCCTTTCAGCCTTCCAAACATCAATTCACTAATTATTTAATTACAGTGAATACAATCCAAGACTATATTAGTATCAAAAGGCAAAACCCAAAGAAAAATACTGTGAATGACATTTTTGATTCTTTTTTTTATGTATGCTTGTGCTGTATCCATGTCGATTCGAAATATACACAATAATAAATGCCGTTTTTTTATGGTAAAAAAGTTCTATTCCTTGAAATGGAAAAAAGAGACTTTTTTACTTGTGCATTATCCTTTAATAACACAGTGTATACATTTAACGACCCCTTTTATTATCTTTGATTCACTTAAAGCCGCCTATTAAACATTATGCTGAATTGCAAATGCTTGTAGCAAAGCTATTGGTGCTTGAGGATTTTCAATTTCCAAATGCTTCAAACTTTGAATGGAAATTATACTCATAATAATATTCATTCGAGCAATTTGAAATAATGTTTGTCGGCTTTGTTTTAAAATGAATTGATTTAGCGAATGGAGAATGGAAAAGAAAAAAAAGGAAGAAAAACACACGAGGAAAAAGAATATAATTTGAACACACCTAAAATATTCAGTACAAATATCATTAACCATTAAATCGGGTCAAATTGTTGGCATTTCAATTTTTTTTTCGTTAGTTCGCGTATGAAATGCGTGTTTTATTCGTAATTAGAGATAAGTATCATAACAGTAAAATATGGCTTAATTATACCACATTTTTAATACCGAATTTGGGTGACGATATACTTGAAGTGCATTTTATGTAGCATCAAAACGATTTTCCAGTCTCTGAAAAAGAACCGCACCAAAAAAAAGTTGAAATAGCTTTAACAAAATGAACGATAAACGTCGAAATGAGCCTAATACAAATGATTATTGCCTATTATTTTGAATACAAGCACCATCCATTGTCATAAGCAACTTTTGTTGAATAACACGCGAGTTTAAACACCATGTTCCTTGCTACCAAATACCTATACAGTATACAACTATACATACTGCTCGACCGCATACGATACGACTACACACGCGTTTAACAGATAAGCGAATTTAAATTCGTCCTAAAAACAGCACCACTCATTTCAAACAGTTAGTTGGTGCGCAATTAACCAACCATAAATTTGGATCGCGTGTTGTGTATGTTGTTTTGAGATTTGGTATTTTGTGTCGGTTTCTGGTTCGTACAACACACTCGAATTTCGTATATCAACGCAACACTCTCTCTCGAGTCGACAAAATCATACCGAATATTATATTAAAAATTACGTCGTTGACATTACAATTCAAATGGGGTAATATTGATAAAAAAAACTTCCACCATTTTCGGTCACCATAATAAACAGCATGTTCGAGAACATTCGCTCGTATTTCATGGTTTCTTTTCCAAAATGCGAAAGTGAACAAACAATAAATCGTAAATATTTTATACGAAAACAATTAATACATACGAATTTTCCGTAAACGACCATCATACCAGAGAGCCCCATGATGTTGGCTCTCGAGCCAGTTTTTTTAGCCAAAAATGACAACCATTGTTTCTCAATGTGATACAGTGGAAAAAGGGAGACGCGAGACACATGTATTTTAAGCGTTGACATGTATTTATATCACAGCACTCCACCGCTTCGCCACCAACCATATATTAGAGCAGCATATCACGAATGGATTATTACGTACATGAAAATTATTGCGGTTTAACATAGAAAATTTATGGCTCTTCATGGTGACATAATTGAATTTAAATTCGAGTTTAATGTGAATATATCGAGAGCGATAATTCTGAGAATGCAATGTGAACGCGCGGATGTAACGCATCTTTGACTGCACTCTAACCTTATGTCGATGCTTTGGCTTTTGCACCCCAATATTGGCCAATCCACACACACATAAAAAAAACCAAATGTGATCTCGAAATGTGTGACATAAACCGAAAGATGGAGCGAAAAGGGGATAAAAAATGCTATAGAGTGCAAACATAAGTTCACATTCAGCTTTGCCATTGCTTTTTGTATGAAAGCCTGCACGCGTCTTCGAGTGTCTATGAGAACACGATGTGTGCTGGCTGTAAAGCGATTTGAAAGCTAATTGAAAATACTCGAATTGTGAATGCACGAGCAGCTGAGCCAAACCAACACACACACGAATTACGATGAAAAAGGAAAATGACAACACAAAGTATTGGCACGATTGTAACTGATTTGGCGATTTCAACCGTAAGAAAATGTATGAAAATAACGAGAACTTAGTGAAAATGTTTTTATATGAATGAATCCATAAACGGATTCGTCAATAGATTACAAGTAACTGATTGAAGTCGGCCGTTACCGTGTGGCAAAAATGGAAATAAATTACATTTAACAGTCATTGCACGTTGTAATATTATTTTTCATCATCATCTTCTTCTTATTACGGTTCACTTCCTTTGGCATGTGGTATTCGTCTCTTTCTCTCTCACGGTCGTGAATTGCATATTGAATGTAGAAAAATGGATAAATTTGCATTTTACACCTTGACTCACCGAGAACCGCACAACCGAGTGGAAAGTGATCACGCCATTACCACATTATTTTCTTTCGACATATATTTCCGTAGTCATCGTTATAGCCAGCTAAAATGTTCGCCTTTTTCCGAAATTGCAAGAGAGAATAAAAATGGTATTTTTTCTTGTCGTCGCGTGAATTTTACTTTCGCACATTTTCATAGAGCGAGAAAAAAATATATATCCACGAACCGATGAAAATTGTAGTAAAATAAGAAAAATTTCAAAGCGCATCCTATGCGAAAATGAAAATGAGGTAACATAAAATTATTGCCAAACGAACTGAGAATCGGCTAACAAAAAAATCAGCTGCTGCAACAGCAACAGTGTTAAAGAATTATTACCCAATGTTGATTCAAAAGAAAGAAAGAAAGAAAGAAAAAAAAACAGTGGCGAACGAAAAGAAATTTTTTGGATGGTAAATCGCTTTTCCTATCTCACAAACTAGAAAAATTGAAATAAACTGTGTGAATATTACGCGAAAGACCATATGGTCGGCAAGGGGATATCCAAGAAAACTAGAATTAGCAAACTACCAACATTTCCATGTAAGAAATTGCGGAATTAGCAAAAACTAGCATATACTAGTACTTTGAAACTTAATTTCTTTTCCGCACACACCACTGTGAAATCGGAACTGGCTTTAAATTGTTTTTCTACGCATTTTGGATCTAGACAATCACGGAGCAAAGGTTTTTTGGCCATGTATATGTAGGCCATGTGGTACACTATGTAGGGCAACTCTTTCCAGAGAAAAGTAAATCTAAACTGTTACAACTGACTTTACAGGGTGGTTGGGGGTTTTCGTTCCAAGTCATTATTATGTTTAATTCATGTTGTACCAAACGATTTCTCTATCACTTGATCAAGCTTTAAAATCGCTTTTTCCTAGTATGTGACACGCATAACTCAAGCAAGGAATCACCTATCAACTTGAAATCTATTTTTGGATACCTGAGCCCATTCCCCAAAAATAATATTTTTCTTTTTGGAAAAAATATTAAAATATTTGAAACTTCGGTACACACCTGACTGGGCTGGTCAATATTTTGCACTTAGCTCGGAAGTAGCACAGAGCTATGGACAGGATTATTTGACGAATCAAAAGGGAGGATTTTACTTAAAAACATATGAACTTAAAAATGATACAAAAGTGCTGCTCATCAGAAATTAGCAATTCAATCAAAAACCAAAGCAGCTGAACTAAAAAACTTTTTCAAAGTGCAAGGCTTGGGAAAAAGAGATGATAACAAAAATATTAATGAACAAGAGTTCAACAAAATATCTGGAGCATTGAAAGGTAATTTTACAAATCCAAATGTATCTTTGATTTCGAAGCTTAATAATCTCGGTTTGGCGATTGTATGTCCACATGATAATAGCAATAATGAGATAATTATTCCACCCGGCAAGAAATGGGATACTATTTTACAAGAAGCTTAAAGCAATGTGTTAGTATATGGATCGAACGAACACAAAACTTTTGATAATCTCAATGACATAATTGAAAAAAATTATATGAAACTTATTGATGACCAAAAAAAAATCAATTGAAGAAGATAAAGAAGACATTACAATTACAATAACTGTATTCTAAACACTTCCACAAAAAGATTCTGAATAAAACTTCTGAAATTCCTATTCCTCAGTCTGATAATATGATGTTAATGGTGATCAGTTCAGTTAGGAAAAAAATCTGTTCAATAATTACTTGTTAATAAAGAAGGCATTTAAAAATACAAAAAAAAATCAAGGGAAAATTAATAAAAAAACATATTAAACTGAGATTCAATCTGTGTTTTATTCAGTATGTTAGTCTCAGCACTAGCTCCCTTCTACAGATTCATAAATATAGAAATTACAATCACATTTACTCCTTTATTCCATGGCGAAAATTTTTATGTACGCTCATGAACGCTATAGCGATGATTTAACAGTCATTTAAAATATTTCGCTCACTCAAATTTTTCACAAAGAAAAATTTCACTCAAAATGCAGTAGTTTTTGATGAAACTGTCACTGATGTATGTAATTCAAAAACAAAGATTCGAAACGAATATTTCAGAATTTAAGAAGAGATCATTTCAATTAAAAATTCCTTCAAAATGCTGCAGCTATTGGAAATCTCTTTCTGAAATAAGAAGAAATATTTTCAATGAAAAATTGTCAAAATTAGTAAGAATAATATCAGCATATCATTACTGATGATTTTAGAATATTTTTGACATACTAATAAAATCCGGTTTTAAACTAGCAATACTAGGTAAATTAGTAAAAAATACTATCAAAATTAGCGCGAACTAGCGTTTATTATAAAAATGAGTCAAATTTATGGTTAACCCCTAAGATATTCGGTGTCGAATGTACGATTTTTTTGCGATATCTGTGTTGTTCGCTCACACTTTTTTATTACAGTTCTAACTGACACTGGCTTAAGAAAATTTGATTGACGATAATGTATTTGTTACCCAGAAAAAATTAGCACACATGTATCTATTGTACGGAGAAATGCAATAAATGGTTTGCAAAACATGCCATTATATTTATATCTCACACAATCGTGATAGTTTCAAAAGGATAAAATGTGGACCAGCCAAAAGAAGCACCAGAAAAAGAAAGAATTTATAACAAATTGTAATTCAATATGATGAGAGTTTTTCTCTATTTTTCCTTTTGATTAATTTGTGCACAAATGAAGAAAAAAGGGAATACACACTGCTGCTGTTGCACACACCAAAGGATTTATGTCTCTAAAAAAAGAGGTTTATCTGAAATTGCCCCAGACGGAAATCGTTGTATTTTCCACTGAACTATCTCAATACCTGATCGTTTGTAATGTAATATAGAGTTTTAACCTACGATAGACGTTAGTTGTCTTTTAATCTTGTAATTGTTTCAGTCCAAGGGGTCATACTACCCCCCATATGAAGTACGAAATACCCCAATGAAAAATTGCAATTTTGCCGTGTGAAGCTCTCGTCATTTTTATTGTGCTTCTTACATTTTTCTGGCAATTTTAAATCTACCACCCCCATGGATTCAGAAGCAAATCGAAATTAAATCGTAATCAATACCCGAGAGAAGAAAAAACTATAGCAAAATAAATGAAGCTTGTGCAGTGGCACAAAGAGTGTATGATTGTATTTCATTTGTTGTTATGTGGTGCATTTGGTGAAGGCGGTTTACACTGCTTCTTAAGAGCGGTGATATTGCAAAAGGCCTGAATACAAGCATTGAATCAACACAAATCGGAAATCACTTCGAGTGGAAAGAATTTCGAAGTGATTTTTTTTGTTACTCCTTCCTGTCTCTCTTCTTGTGTCTTTTGTGCTTTCATATTCCATCGATCTTTGCAGTAAATAGCCAATCAGTTGGTAGCTTCAAGGAATGGCAAACTTTTTTCCGTTTCATCCATCGAACAGTAACGAATGAATCGTTTTGTATGCGAATTGAATAAATGAATGTGATGTGCTGTCTATATGTGAATCTCAGGCCATCGCCGGTGTCTGTATCTTTTTTTGTTGTTGTTGCTATTATTTCTATATATGTTGCGAGCGTTATGTTCTATTTCATTCACACAATCAATGTATTTGAAGTGAAATGCACTAGAGAAACAGGGTGCTGCTACATGCTGTAACCCATGCTGAATAATGATTGAATTGAGCAAAGCAAGCACACATATATTCACAACGAACGCAACAAAACATGGTGAAACGAATGTAATAAAAATATAATGGGATTGTAGCCAAAAGCGAGTAATAACCGGTGTCGAGTCGACATTGCTTCATTTCAATTCACGACACGAATAACTAAAAATGCACTTTTCAAACGTCGATGAATATGATATTGGTTTACAAGTGATTTGTATGATGTCGAATCGCATTTTGCCAGTTCCTATTTGGGTTCACATGAAAGAGAAAGAGAGAAATTGTGAAAAGAAAAAAGAAACAACGGAAGGATCTAAATCGACAAGATGATGGTATAAAATAAATACCAAGAGAGCGAATCTTTTTTTGCATAATTTGCATTGCTTGCGATGTTAAGTCGATGCGGCAAGAACGTATCTTTTGATTGAATCTTGGCACAAATACAATCCGATCAAAATCAAGTGGTAGATAGAGAGAATAATCGAGAGAGAAGTAGAGTCAATAAACGATGCGTAAAACGTGACAGCACGAAATGATGCACGATAACGGACAAGAGCATATAGAGATGGAAGAAAAACACACTCAACGCCATCATCATTGAATCCAAATCGATTCAATATCGATTGGAAAAATTATAGTCATTTGAATATTTCGTACGTTTGTCCTTCGTCAACGTATTCACTTAAATTCAGTGTAAATGGCACTGAAATTGTTATCGATACATATTACAATTGATTGAAATTCCAAAGAATATGACAAATAACGTTGATCAAATGAATTGGATGAATCCATTTTTTTTATTGTACACTTAATTAACGACAATAATCATGAGCCTTACTTCAAAATATCACGAATTCAAATAATTTCACTGATAAAGTTTGACGTTTTTTTAATGGAAGAATAGCTTTCCGTTCATCACAATCAATCAAATTGTCGCATATCCATGGATTACTTCTGTGTTCGTATTCGCAATGGACGTATAAATCCGTTAAAATAACAGTGATTCTTTGAAGTGATGACATCAGCATACATATTCGTGTCTTCTCCATTTTAATACACAATAATAAATTCAAAATTTTAATTTTACCAATCAGTAGTAACATTGATGATGAAATGTGTCTCATAAACTCCAAAAAGACATAGGACTATCGCATGCAAAAATGTCAAGAGCATGAAAACCTATTAAAAATGCATTTGTCAATTTCTGAAATATGCTGAGTAAGTGATTCGAACTGAAGTAAAAAAAAATTAAAATCGAATTGATACTACCCTTTAACAAAATAAGATGTGATTTGGTTTGTAATAAAGAGATCAATTCCCTTGTTTTGCTAAAGTAACCAGAGCCCAATACCAACCGAAAATTAATTATGTTGCATCCATTTTAAAAATGGTTTCATTTCGCAAAGTCATATATCGTTTGCATAGTCAAGGCAATGGAAACATCGACGATGATAACAAGAGAACAAAAGAGATTGCAATGTGAATGAGTCACATCTATAATGAATGGCATGCAATTTGAACGCGTGCTATTCTCCTTGTATATATATCATTTGCGCTCCTGAATCCATCTTTCAGTACGCATCATTGATTCATCTGATTGCTTCGCATGATAAACCTTTGCAATTACGTGCAAAGTGTTTGCGAACGCAGGAAAAAAAAGCGGGCGAGTGCAAGTCTTTTTCGTTGTAATCGTGAGCGTACATAATATTTTATGCGGAGTGAGATAATGGCGAATGTGTGTATTGAAGATGAGCGAAGAAGAAAAAAAGAAATGTGATGAAGAGAGAGAGAGTGTGAGAGAAAGAGAGAGCGAAAGAGATATCTTTTGAATGTTTATTCAAGAAAATTAGAAATGTGCATTGATGCAAAAGTGCTCGCCGTAAAAGCAAATTTATAACTAATTCCAATGAATGACAACGAGGAAAAAAAATAAGGTCAACAAAGGGAAGAAAAATGCAAGAGAGCATTGAGAATAACTGGAAGCAGCTATTTGTGTTAGGTTGTTGTGGTCAAAACAATTCATTCGGTTTTATATCTGATCCAGACTGTTTACATGTAATCTTTTATTTTTTTACCCTGTACAATTTCCTCTACGAATTTATTCTTTATATGGATTTCATATGTAAACCAAACTTACTTTGCAAATGAACGAACAGCGAACGCAAGAGGAGCAAATGGCAAATTGTCATGAGAATATTGCCGGGTTTTTTTTTATTTCAATGGAAAAAATTGTTTGTCAATTTTTCAACGTAAACAAATGTGTCCCGTGTGCTTGTTTGTTACGCACGCAAATTGATAGAAATGCTTTATTAAAAATGATGCGTAGGCAAAGGTATACGTTTACATTTTTTATTAGTTTTTACTCCACATGCGGCTCCCCAATGAAAATGCTAATTCAATTGATCCTATCTCAATTCAAATTACAGTTTAACAGGTGATAATGCACGGTCGACCATAATCTCACTTTCTTCCTCTCTCTCTCTCTCCCTCTCTCTTGCTTTGATAAATATTACGGTGAGATAAAAAAAGATCTAGATACTTTTTATTGACGACCGGCAACTGATTAAATTTTACCACTTTTAATGCACCGCTTCATCGTAACATACACAAAGCGAAAACATTAAGTGCACACACAGTAGATCCATTAAATATGATGTTCATTCTCTTTCTTCGTACAAACGCAATTTCGTTACCTAAAATTTCAACATACAAATAAAAAAAGGCTGGCGATTCGATCGAGTATTTTTTTTATTGTAAAATACTTATGATACATTCAGTCTGTGATGAGACATTGAACAAAATGTGTAAATTAATTTAAAATATAAAAATATTCAAAAAGAAAATAAAAATTCCACCATAAAAATCATTTCAACATTCTCTTGTGATTTTCTTTCCATTTTATCTCAATTGTATCGTAGATTTGTGGCGCTAAATTTCAAACTTATACGTTTTTATAGGAAATATCGATTTTACGTTTCGGTTTGTCTATTGTTATCGCTTGGTGTCGCTGGTGTCTAAATGGCGCGCACGTGTCTCATACATATGCAAGTATCACATCGGAGGCAAACATTATATTTCGTACAAACACACACCTATACATGTATGTAAACCAACTTCATGCGAGTTCGTCACAACACAAACATCGTCATTATCATTTTATGCTTATATTTTACATTGCTTTGGGTTTCTGTTTCTCCTCGGTTTTGTTGTGCTGAGCTGTATCACGATTAAAAATTCTCTTTTTGTACTTTGCGTTCCGTTTCTTTTTTCTTAAATCTTTAAGAGAATATTCCCAATAAAATTCTTCATTGCATTTACTCAGTTTTAGTGTTTAAAAAAAAGTGGAACGCGCGAAGTTTCTTCTTTTTTTCATTTTGCTGTTGTTTTGGAATCGCATAAAAATAGACAATGAGTGACGACGAACGGGACATAGATATTGAAAGTGATGTAAGTCGTATATAACAACGCCATTCTCAAACCACACACAAATGAAACGCAAATGACAAATTGGTGTAATTTTTGTATAATTTTTTGTTCGGTCGCATTTGCAGGATGATGTTGATTCCGATGGACGAACACAATCGCGGACCGCAGTCTCGCAATATTCGAGTCAGGTAAATACAGTGCAAATCGAAAAAATATATATTCGAAAACCCTTTTTTTCAAGGCCATTAAAGAGTACGTAAACGAAACACCATAACGCTATCACAACAACAATACCAATTCAATGTTTTATGTCAAACTAGTGTATGGTTGTGTTTATTTTTGAATTTTGTGTGTTTACATGTTTTCATCCATCTGTTTATGCATTTCTCAATGCAAATGTTGTCAATTTTCTCATGCGAATTATTATTTTTAATGAAAATCGACGATTTTCGAATGAAATTACAGTGAATGGTTTTTGTTTTTCGAATATTCAATGCTTTTTTTGTTTCGTTTTGGATTTATAGGCGGAAAAACGAGCTCATCACAATGCGCTAGAACGAAAACGACGAGATCACATAAAAGATAGTTTTACAGCGCTTCGAGATGCAGTTCCGTCTTTACAAGGCGAAAAAGTGGTAGGTGCCCAAATAACGAACTGGTTTACAAATATTAACAATGTTTATGTTTAATTTGTGCATGGTGGAAATGAATGTGAAATTTATAGGCGAGTCGAGCGCAAATTTTGAAAAAAGCTGCCGAATACATAACATTCATGAAACGAAAAAATCAAAACCATCAGTCTGGCAACGATGATTTAAAGCGTCAGAACAGTCATTTGGACCAGCAAAGTGAGTAGAACATAGTGACATTTTCAATTAAAAAAAACAAACAAACAAACAGATACTTTACAAACACTTGCACTTATAATGATGTTCAAACTAACCGTTTTAATTTATTTGCTTCGTTGAAATTCAGTACGACAGTTGGAACGACAGTTGACTGCAGCTGGTGAGACTGATTTATTGCGAAATGAACATCATACATCTGAATCGGATATGTCCGATATCGATGACGAAGAATCACAAGTGGATATTGTATCGACACCGCAACCAAATGCGAAAAAAACAAAAACCTCATACAATGCAAAAGTTATGTACCAATGAGATGGATACATTCATGATGTGGACAACTGCCGTAAAACGATTTGCAATTATTATCTATCTCGCTATGAATCGTTAAAGCAATTGTTGTTCTTGCGAGCACATACAAATAATAATAAGAATAATAAATTTTTAGGCTCTTAGCATGTAAATTCTTCCATTATAAGAAAACGTGTCTAGATAAATGGCAAGTGCTGCAGTTATGTTGCCACCGACAGTAAGGGCATAATTGCATGTTTTTTTCATCCTATTTTGGATTCCAAGCATTTATTTTTGTTTATGTAAAATACGAAAGAACAAATCAATCTCACTTCTTAATTTCACCGTTATAATTATAACTATTGGCCAAATTGATATCCAAAAACTAGATTCCTTGAAAATGAAATGTGCACTGTGCACAGCATATTGATCAGTTCATCACATCATTCAATAATTATTATAATGCCCCAGTATGCAGTGCAAATCATTTTTCTTTTGTCACCTCTTTCTATTCAACGTTTTGATTCTCTCTAATTTCCTCACTAATGTGACAGCGAACCGCATTTGTTCAGATCAAATACGAAACTCAATTCAAAACTATGTGAAAATGTCAACAACATCAAAAAAAAAAAATGAACACGTTTTTGTATTGATTTTTCTAATATGAATGACGCTAACATTAGGATACTAATACAAATTATATTATTATTTTTCTTTTTTCGTGTTTCTCATCTTTTTGTGCGAAATATTATACACTTTTTACAACAAAAAAAAAACCAAGATACCAACTAAAAAAATACATAATAATAATAATTATAAAGAGACAAAACTTGAATTTTTTTTATATATACACAAAAATGAAACCGATTTTCGCGGTACGAATTGAATTAGTTTAATATTTTACAAACTACAAAAAAAAAACATAAAAAAAATCAAAAAAATATTAATTAAAATGAAGGCAAAAATCATATTTTAGAGATGTAAGTTTTTACGTTTATCGAGAGAAGTTATTATTCACTGTAAAATGAAAAATGAATAAACCACCAAAAATTTAAAAAGAACTTTTGACTTAAGATTGAGTTAATAAAATAATTTGTATTTTTTTTCCTTTCCAAACAAACCAGCCTGATTTAAATAAAATGTTTTTCTTTGCTTGATTCGGGAGATTTTCTTTTCTTCAAACTGCAGCTTTTGTTGGAAAAATTATTGAGAAAAATCGTTTTTTTGTCTTATTTCAAAACAATAAATGGCCTGATGGAAATTGGGTTGGTTTAATAAATGCCTATAGGTAATTTAATCAAAGTTTTATTTCACTAATAAAAAAATGCCAGAAATCGTTATCGACTTCACTAACAACAGCAGCAGCAAAAAAATCATCAATTGAATTAAATTTGAAAAAAATAATTAAGTGAAAAAGTTTACAATTGTTCGAGCACAAATCCGGTAACAGATACAGTTTTTGTCTGTTGCCATTCAATTTCAAAGCAATTATCGTACTTCGTTGTTGTTGTTCTTTTTTTAAATACTGTTTGCGTTATTTTGAAGCGGAACCAGGTAAGCAGAAAATACAATTTTTTGGAATTTGCACCTTGTTCAATCGAAATTTTGAAAAATTAAATGCAATAAAAAGAGAATGAAATTATGTTTGCATCGGTGCGCAACAGTATTGTATTTAAGCCTGTATATTTGATTTCAGACATTTTTTCAAAGCGACATTATCAAGATATCACGGCTCTAGCAAACTAACGCACTAGTATACAACAGCACACTGTCTCCAGTTCTGTATGTATGTACTGCAAAAATGTGCACAAGCAGCAACGATTGCCAACTGTGGGCAGAATTTGTAATACATACGGATACACAGAATCGGAGTCAGTGTAATCCTGTTTACTAGTGCGTTATTTCGTTAGAACCGTGAGATTTCGATGAAGTCGCTTCGAAAAAATTTCTGACAGATTAAGCGATACTGTTACCCACCGGTTTGCATCATGAGCATTTGGTAATTTTCAGCCAGGCTCCAATTGATGCAAGAATGACTTTTTCGTGCAATACTTGATTGAAATTGGTAAGCGACTACATAATTTTCCAGTAATTCAACTAGATCGATCCAAGTTTGAAGCATTACAAATCTCAAGCCAATGAACTTACAAGGACCCTCTCCGGTGAACAAAAAAAACTAACTTGAAGGACACATTTTCGTTTGTTCGAGCGTGAATTGGTAATGGTCAAAAACTTCTAGATTCTCATAAATATATGGATTTTAATTAATCACCTTCAAAAGTCTGTGAATATTGAAATTCAAAAATATGAGGTAAACAGTCAAAGAACAATGAAAAATAACCAAGAAGAATTAGTAAATAAAACTCGAGTATTTACACGTGTACTTACAGTGTAGTCTGGATCAACAATCTGCATAAGAATTATACAAACTTTACAAAAAACACGACTTGTGCAACGGAGAGAAAGAAAGAGAGAGAGAGAGAGAACGAAAAGACTCAACAACAAAAGAATGGTAGAAGTAAGCTGCTAGGTTCAATGCTTTTCAATGGTTGAAAATTGAAACAACTGATGCGTAATTTAAAATTTGTCAGTCAAACGTTAAACAATACTCTATTTGCATGTGTGATTTTTTTCTGTTTGCCGAGTCTCCCACTCACTCCCTTTCTCTCTCTCTCTCTCTCTCTCTCACTATGATAATGGACTTAACCAACAATAATTCAATAAATTCGATGATTGGTGATGAGCATTCAAACCGAATCGAATTTATCGTTGAATAAGTGAAATTGAAAATGCTTTCCATACTTGCATTTCCGTAAATAAATTTCAATTTAATGTATTATCAATCTGGTTAAAAGGACGACAGCATTTCACAATTTGAATTATGTAGTTACCGAAGCGATATATTCGATTTGTGTATCTATTAACTGCTTATCTCCCGAAAACTTTTGCATCACACAAATCAGAAACATGCTCATGCACATTCTAAATGGAGTATCAATATGATTTGGCTTTTTGGTTTTCAATTCTCGTTCGTTCACAATTCGTTCTTGTCTTCATCATCATCATCATCATCACCATCTTCTTCTTTCCTCTCTCCTTTGTTTATCTAATCGAAAAGTATAATATCGACAGCAATGTTAAGCTTTGCATTTGAATTTCGTGTTTGCTATTTATGCATTCGAATCAAATGGTGTGTGTGTGCTCTCTATTTTTCTCGAGCAGCAATCAAAATGCGATAGTTTTAGTTTTAACGAAAATGGTAATCATTATTAAACAGCTGTCACTGGCAACATTTTAAATTATTGTCACGTATATCAATATCTTGAGGAAAGTGAAGCATTTGAACCGCTTGGTAACGGGCGAAAGACAAAGAACAAGCAGACGGATACTAAATGAAAGCACCAGAACTATTCATATGTTTTTTTTTCTCTCTCTCTCTCGTGAATTTTAAACTAAATATACAGTACTGTGCATAATGTATATATTATATGTCGGAAGAAGGGAAGGCACGTTGCACGTACAATACAAACTCTCGTTGTAAGCATGCAATAGTGAGATTGAATGAAAGTGTCGAAGTCAATTTACATGCATAAATTTGATTATAATTTATAAATTGTAATTTCAATTTGTTGTTGTGTTTGATTTTATCCTACTTCCATTTACTTGGAACACACTTATGATGGGAAGCATTCAACGTGCGCATATTCTCACACTATCTACTTCACTTGTATTCATTGTCCCGCTTGTATGCCATTATAAAGTGCTGTGTATGTTGGTGATTAAAATTTCTGGGAATCTATATACATGGATTGTCAGTACTTGTCAAGGTGCGAATTTTAAAAATGTAAAGGAAGAAGTGATCAGAAGATGTCGAAAACAAAAATTGAAAAACTATATACCTATAAATGAATCTATCGGTAAAATAAAATGCGGAAAAAATTCTCGAAAATTTGGTTTGTATACGTTTGCTTACACAATTATCAGAAACAATGACTTAACAAGTCATTTTTAACAACCAGAACGAGCAAATTTTAACTCGGTGAATGTCCTCTCAATTTTGACTGCATAATTTCTATAAGTATCTTTGGTATATATGCAGACAAAATTATTTTAACGACGACTATGATGATAATGACGATGATGACGACACACTTGCATAACGAATTAAACTATAGGCCTGCATCCAGAGTATCCAGCATTCAATCTGCATTGATGCAAAGTATACATACGCCGTGTTACACGTTTTTTATTTTAAATTTGGATATTTCGATTATACTGGAGTCTGAAATCAAAAGAAAAGACGCGACAAATATCAGGCTATAACTATTCAATTTTATAAAATTCACTCTTTTATTTTGATCGGATGTAGGCGTTTATGTGTGTGTATATCTGTGTGAAATGAATCGAAAACGTCTTTTAAAAACATGGTGTATTTGGATTGGGTATTCGTTTGAAACCGTTATTGAAAATGTTAGTTAGTAATTAGTTTTCACATATATTTCAATATGAAATTTTATCTGGCATACACACACAAAGCAGCAGTTTCAGATTATTCTCTCGTTATTTGTAGCCAAAAGCATAACCGGGTGTAATCAATTTGAAAATAAGCTTTTTGCAAAATTCTGACGTTAGATTTTTGTTTTTCTTCGTACAAAATGATTCATAAACTTATAGCGGTTAACTTATACAAACGGCATGGATTTGGCTTTTGTATGTATATTGTATATGAACCGTTGAGAAATATAGATACCTTCATTAAAGTTAACCATAAAACTGCAACATGTCCATACACTTTTTTTGTATTTTTTGTATGGACATGTTGCAGTTTTATGGTTAACTTTAATGAAGGTATCTATATTTCTCAACGGTTCATATGTGAATCTGTGTAAATGGCATTCCTGTTTTCAAATCGATAAATACTTATTCAATCAGATTGAAATATGCTGTTGCGTCAATAGTATCAACAAACATGTTTATTGCATAAATCCGTTTGTGATTAATCCCAGTGAAAATGGTTATTTCCATTCGAAAGCTCATTTATTGTCAAATTAAGAGTATTTTCAGTTGCCACAGAGAGATTTCTTACCACAACCAGTATGCCATTTTAATTCGAAATTACTCTAAATGTTCGAGAAAACTTACTTCATTCATTATAAATTCAATATATCGGCTCTTTGACTACATTTCAAAATTTGATATGCTTAAAGTAGCTAAAATCGATTGAAAATTGCGCCAATATTAACATGTTAAAACCATTGTTGACCGTATTATGTCCGTTTATTTTTGAATGAGTGTGTGTGTGTGTGTTCATAGAAGTTTTGTACACCAAAAAACCCAAAAAGATCCATTTACAGTGGTTAAATGCTGCTGAGCTTGATATGTGGTTATTTCTTAGTATACTATACCAGCATGATTAGATGAAATGAAATGAGAGCTCATATGAGCATGGAGCAACAATACGCATCATCGAAATACAAATGAAAACAAATGGTAAATCCACTAGTGGTTACAGCATTAACAACAACGACACCTTACCACCTTACATCTCTCTTTGAACATATCAATGCATTCGTACCATGGCCTATTAACACATTGCATTCATGTGTGTGTGCGCGCGCTTCTGTGTGAAGATG